CCTATATAAGAGAAAAAATAAAATAATCCATTTCTCTTTGAATAAATTGCATTTCTCTTTATAAATAGAGAAATGGATCAAAATTAATTATCCATTTCTCTACACTTTATTTCCATTTCTCCTTATAACTGGAGATATGGATGAAGGATTTCCTCTTAAAAAGTAACCGTTTCTTATGGTATATAGTGAAGTATTGATTTGTATTGGAGGGGAATTCGATGTTGAAAGAAGAATTTCTGCTTAACTTTTTGAGGTTAAACCATTTCTCCTAGAAGTGGAACGGTTTCTCTATGAAGTGGGGAAATGGTCCACCCCTCAATCATGTACAGCTCAGAAACCAAATGATGCAAATTTATACTAATTTTTGCGGCAATATGCATAAACCTTTCACCGAAAAATAAAGTTTCTGAAGCAGCTGAAGTATAATTGATACCAATTATGCGCGAGTTCATCACACTTGAATAATAATGGCAGTGTGGAATCCTACGATATAAACTATTATAATACTCGGAAGTCTGACCTACCTATCTTTCCAAAATGGGAGATCCTTGCTTTATAGTCAACGGATCATTGCATATTTCTCTCTCAGTATGTAAAATATATCCCTTTCCGTGTGGGAACTGTGCGTAGGTTTCTAGGATCCTTTGTACTTGTGTGTTAATTAATTCTTAATGGTAGCATGGAAAACAGCCATTGCAAAAGGAGTGCCTACGCAAACATATAACTTTCACAATGGAATAAAGTCCCATTGAGTTTTTATTGTGGAGCGACGGATGGCGGAAGAGTTAACAGAATATCAGGACCTAAAGGTACTTCCAAATAATGGCACACGATGGGCCAAGGATGTCTCTAAATAATAGGACATCAGGACCTAAAGGTACCTCTAAATAATAGCACATGAGGAGCCAAGAGTACCTCTAAACAGTAGCATATGAGGACACAAGGGTACTTCTAAATAATAGCACATGAGGACCTAAGGGTACCTCTAAATAGTGGCCCATAAGGACCCCAAGGCGTATCCCAATTATAGAGACTTGAGGACCCGAGTACCCTCCCGAGAATAGGTAGATTATGACCCAGTCGGACTGGGTACCCAGTCTACTGGAACTGGTGCACCCCTACTTCTTAGTTTTACATATATTCTCTGGATTGTAATCGTATCGTCAGTATCGTATGTATCGTCACCGTGTCGTACGCATCGTACGTATCGCCACCGTATTCCCGATACACAGAATCCGCTTTTTCCCCCTTGGGGAAGGGGGAGATCAGCTGAAACTGAACACCAATGGGGTAAATTTGGGGTTACAATGGGACAAACCTGGACAGAGGGAGGGGAGGGTCGAAAAATGTGATTTTTACCTGGACGTCCTTGATGGATGGCCCCCCATGTGTAGAACAGAAAAAAAAAAGATGAAGGAGAAGAATATACGGAGCGCATGTAACAGTTATCCTATTTATATCTATCCATTGTTGTGATCTATATATATTTATCTGATTCCATTTTAGATACACATACATAGCAGCAATTGTCTTCCAATGGCAAACAAACAAAGTCCTGAAAAAGGTCGTTTTTTCTTTTAGATATTTTCGAATATTAATTAAAATATTTTATATTTTTATAGATCCACGTGAAGTGATGAAAATGAATGAACTTTTTCGGTCATATGATATGTATGGAAATATTCAACGAAAATCAGATAAAATAAAAGATTTTCAATGTGAACAAGCTGATGAAACATCATCAACAAATAATGCTCTTAATGAAATGTCTTTACAATCAATGGCTACTAGTCATTATAATGAAAATATATCAACAAATGATGATATACAACAAGGATTAAAACGTACTCATTAAATGGTTGCATCAAGAAAAGGACGTAAAAATAATGAACAAGAAATTCCAGTAATTTGTATATTATTTTTTTATATTATTAAAATTAAATCTTTATTTTAGAATCGAATCGAACATAATGACGATGATGATGATGAAGAATATGATGAAGAAAAAGGTTTGATTTTCTAATTCAAAATAATATTCATAATATTTTTCATATATACTTCAGGTGCTCAATTATTACAAAAAATTATTGCTTCCGTACTTAAACCAAAGAGTAAACATGTTAATCCATCATTTATGTTTTTTCATTGTACTTCACTTGGTTCATTATCAAGTGACGATATTCCATCATCAATTAATGGTTCATATAAATCACAATAGGGTCTAGGACAACTGATCATGGGATAACTTATCACGGACAACTGATCATGATCATGGAAAAACTGATCATGACGACAACTGATCATAAGGGATAACTAATCTTGAACAGTTGATCATAAAAAATCGTTCGATAATTGATAATTGTCATTTATTTCCAAACAAAAACGAACAGAGAGAGGGTGTGGG